AGGAGTGTTGAAATTCCGATATTCGCTTGCAATTATTCCGCAAAATTTGTTTGTGAATCTTAGAAAAAAGAACGATTGCTGACGAAATGTTTGGTGAATTTTAACATAATTAGAAAAAATTCAAAGCTACAAAGTAAAAAAGGAATGGAATTGTCATAAAAAGTATTTGGCCCACCCTAATGCACATTTGTACATACATAATACCATTTTAAAATATATTTTGCGTTGTTGCCTTTTTGAGATAGAAATTTTTGGATTCTCGTTTGCAGTGGTATTAAATTTGCATCTAATGATAGCGAAATAATGACAGCTTGCAAAAATATCATTTAATGAGAAAAATCAACAATGGAAATCGCAATGTCGTTTGTTTAAGAGTCACAGCTTAATTGTTTCGAGTCAAGCAGGTTTCTGGTGAATACCTAAGAATCCACAATTTAGCTAAGTAAATTCTTTAATATCCTTATCCATATCGTAATCAACCAGTGAGGTATTAATGCAACTTCTCAATTCTTTTATATAGAGATTTTTAAACACATGGCAACGCTGCTAAAAATATTTTCTCAATAAACTTTTTAATAAACTGTTCTATTAAGGAATTTATTGTAATATTTTATTTATTTTATAACTTTCATGAAAATTAAATTACAATTCGATTGCACATACACACCAAAAGCTTCAAAGTCGGCGTTACATTTTAGCACGTGATCATTCATAGGCATATTTATAGAAGGTCGTTACCGTTAAAGAATTCCATATATAATATTTGCGCGTATAAGAGGTCTAACAGCCATCTTTGCAGATTTGGTAAGCATGTTTTTGATAATCTGAATACGCTTTATAAGCTTGCCTAAATTCTGTGAAATCTTTAATTTATAAAGTAACACCAAACCAGGCATTTATTTTTGTATGAGAGACTAGAGCTTATACCTAACTTCGCTCGCGTTAAATATTAAAATATTTCTAGTGAAATTTTTAATCAGTTTTTTATTATGACATATATATGGAGATATGTATATATTATCATGTCAAAGTTTTTCAAATTTTATAAAATGTAACATTTTTGAGTCCAAATGTCAAGCATATTGACCGGTTAGTTCCATGATTTGGAATATATCGAAATCGATCCTCCACTTATAAGAAAGACAATTTTCTATATCTTAACCCAGGCGAAGAGCAATCAAGCAAATGAAAACCAAAAGAAGAATTTTTTCGAAAAGATCAAGGGACCAATTTACTGCCCAGACAGAAAAGTTCTCATTATATTTATCCAGGCAAAGGGCTATCTAAGTACATATATATATATATATATATATATAATTGGCACTTTGTAACCGCTGAAGCGATTTTACGCCGAGCTTTTCCTCCAATTTGTAGTTTTACGTCTTGATGTTTTCCCAACAAATGGAGGGACCTGTAGTTTATACTAAGCCGCGTCCGAACGGCCGATGGGTTTTTTATGAGGAACTTTACTTTATGTCAGAAATACACTCGGAGGGGTTGACATTCCCTGCCGAGTGCGATCGTAGTTAGAAAAATTAGCTTAGTTTTTTATTTAAATTAATTTCCTATAACTTTTGGACGCTGGTCGCATGGGGATTTGAACCCGAACTTTCCGAATGGCAGTACGCAATGCTAACCACTCGGCTACCGCGGCCGCCATATATACATATGCTCCACATATTAAACAAAATTGGGAAATAAATATATTTTTTTCGAATATATTTTTTTTATATCCCAAGTCTACTTTCCGGAAGGAAAAGTTATATTTATATCTTTGACACAAGGCTATCTCTGTTCCAAATTGAACCTTAAATTCAAAAATTTTTTAATTGATACATATCAGGTCTCAGAAGAAAATGTGTACTAACCTCACTTTAGCCAAAGAGCTCTTGGGCTCTTAACCTAATTTCCTGTGAATCAAACGGCTTTAAATAATTTAAACTTTTCATTATTTCTTATCATCAGCAGAACAAGCCCTTAAAATTTCAAGTCTCGACGATCTAAGATGGTTTTGTGTGTGGGTTGAACCGTCACTAATTCATGACAAAGCCTTTCACATATACACCCGCATGGAATTGTATAATGGTTAAATCTCCTATTATGATTTTAATTTAAGCTATCATATGAAATGTTGTAAAAAATAAATACATAAATGTTTTTCGCATTTTTTTTAATGAAAGAGCTTTTAGAAACATAAACTCTAAATGAAGCAAATCGAAAAATAAATTTGATTATTTCAGTTAGATTGGTCCCAAAAAGAGTTTATCCAAGCATTGACATGGGCGGAGAGCCATTAAGGTTAAACCTATAGAGTAAAACTTAACCATCGAATGGATTACAGGCCCATTTTCCGAAAGAAAAAGATATCTCTGTACTATATTTTATGAAAATCTAACTACAAATAAAAGGCAGTAAAAATTTTCCCTACAGACGGTACCAAAAACAAAAGACTTTCTACACAAATCTGTTTATCTTTTTGTCCAGGCATTTGACATAAACACAATCAACTGGTTTATAAGTACACTGCAGGGAGAAGGTGGACTAGGTAGTATGAAATTATATCTAGCAGTCCAGCAGCAACAACTGAGTCCTATTTCATTTCTATTTAAGTTATCAGGTGTACAACTTTGCTTCCGCCGCTTTCCGATAGGTGGCTGTACCGGCTGAGGCTGGTTGAAATACATAGATGATAATGCCTTTAAAGTGAGTGTGGACAGTGCCTAACGAATTGTCATCGCCGTTTCAGTGACAGTTGTTCTTGTTTTCGTATTATTCACGCTCGAAAATGTCCGTTTATGTGCCTAATTCTCGCCATTTGCGGGAAGTTTTACTTTTCTGTTACAATTAAAAAAAAAATGCAGCTGAAGCGCATCGAATGCTCTCAGAAACTTACGGTGATGCTGCTCTGAGTGAAAGAACGTGTCGGGAGTGGTTTCAACGAATATTCACGGCGCCAAGGTTATGATTTGTATTTGGTGGGATCAGCTCGGTGTGATTTACTACGAGCTCTTAAAATCGGGTGAAACGCGCGCTAAAAGAAAAGCGGCCACAATATCAAGAGGGACATGACAAAGTCATCCTCCAACACGACAATGCTCGGCCTCACGTCGCAAAAGAGGTCAAAAAGTACCCGGAAACTCTGAAATGGGAAGTCTTTCCCCACACGCCGTATTCTCCAGATGTCGCCCCTTCTGACTTCCACCTATTCCGTTCGATGGCACACGGCCTGGCAGATCAACATTTTCAATCCTTCGAAGAATCGGAAAAATGGATTGCTTCATGGATAGAGTCGAAAGAGGACTCCTTTTCTCAAGCCGGGATCCGAAAATTGCCGGAAAGATGGGAGAAAGTTGTCGCTAGCGAAGGACTATGCTATGATAATATATCTGTAAGCATTCTTTCGCAATAAAGCTTTTAATTTTGGAAAAAACGGCGGAAGCAAAGTTGTACACCTGATACATTGAAGTGAGCGAAATGAAGACCATCGATTCATCATCACGACGAGCAAATTAATTTTGTTTTAGTTTTAATTTTTGAAGAAGCAGAAATTTTCACCACTAGGCCATTCACAAAGGCTTTTGCTGGTTTTAGTACGCTTCACGGCGGAAAATCTTTTCGCTAACATTACCTGTGGAAGGGTGCAGATATCGTACATTACAAATCATAACGATAGCTCAGGCTCACAATTAAAATTAATATTATTTGGTGATACAGAAATTGAATGGACCTGAATGAACTGGTATACAACTAGTATGAAAATGATGCATTGCAGTTTACCGGATTAAAAATACTACTTGCTTACATGAGAAATATATGGAAATTGAACTGAATAATTAATGCACAAAGCGGACCAGTTGGATGCCATTAAATATCTGGAAAACTAGAGAACTACAAGGGAAAGTATTCCTTGCAGAGTATGAAGACTGTAAAGAGAATATTATGCTTACTTCTCGGTACATTTTTACATATAATTATTATAAATTTAATTTTAATATTTTCTAATATATTATAATATTTAAAAATATAATATACTAGGTAGGGTGACAAATAACCTCCTTGGGATTGAGAAAAAATTAAGTGCTCTCGCGTTCGTATTTTTGGTCCGGAGTAAGCATGTGCAGCTCTCAGAGGCAGGATAACTTTTTCATTTATAGAATCTAAACCAAAATATGACATGTGCGCTCAAGGAGTAATCTTTGGAGCAGCTGCTAGCTCGCGCACCTTCACTTTTTGGTGAGTCAATACCAGTTCATATATTTTTTTTTTGACATTGTTCTCTGTGACCACATCGAAGGGCCTGCCGCTGCGAACTTGATCGGTAAAGGAGTTGCGGTTTCCACGAAACAATCGACACGAATATTTGATGGTGTAATCTGATGTCGGATTAGCCAAATAATATTTATCTAACTTTTCTTTTGCTTCCTTCGCCGTTTTACCTCTCAAAAGATAAATTTTTATTAGAGAGCGAAAATCGTTTTTGCTCACACTCAACATGATGCCAACAAAAAATAGCTGACAAAAAAAAAAAAAAAACAGAAGGAAATCTGGTGTGTTTGCCTAAACATGAACGGACTGTAAGGCCGTTAAGGAGGCTGCTTTTCATCCCACCTAGTCAGATTACTACCTTTTTTCATTTGTTATGTGAAATATTTTTTTGAATTTTCCTAAGAATGAATTGGATATACAGTTAAATAATTTTTAAAACATATTAATTTATTGGATTGCAGCTGATTGTAGTCTTTCATGCAATATTATAAAGTGAGAAATCTCAGCTTCAATCAGTGAAGCTTCAGTCAACTAATTAAAACCCCTTTGAGTTTAAGTTGCTATGAAAAGAGTACTCAAAGTGATTTCGTAATCTTTATATATACATAGATAACAAATATATTGTAACTGGGTATTCAAAATATATTATAGCAAATACTAGTTTTAATTAACTTCAATTCAAACAAGTAAATAAACATTAGCTTATATATTATATTTTACTGTAAATAACTTACCGTCGACTACTTTGTATAATTGGCGAGAGTATAATCTCAAGACTGGAGGACATACTTGGATTCAATTGGCTTTGCATTGTGCTCACATTCGCATTCGCCATAGAATTTTGCACTGAATTTTGATTCAAATTTGAGTTTTGATTTAGATATTGAATTTGATTTTGATTTTGATTCAAATACAGATTCTGATTATCATTTAAGTTTTGATTTTGATTCTGATTCTGATTTATATGTGAAATGTTGGCACGATTGCGATTAAGCGTTGCATTTGCATTCGGGGCACTACTCATACTCATAGAACAATTGGATGGGGTTGTGTTGTTGCTGATTGTGCAGGGTTGATTGGAGTTGGAGTTGGTGTTGCTACAATTGGTGTTGACATTCAAATTAACATTGCTATTGCTATTGCTATTGCTATTGCTATTGCTACAGGAATTGCTGTTACTGACGCTGTCGCTGTTATTGGCATTGCAATTATCGAGATTATAACTGGCCATGGGGGAATCACCTACGCAGCAGACAACGCTGCTTTTGAATGCCATGGCCTCCAGTGATTCTTCACTGTGGCAGTTGTAGTTGTTATTGTTGCCGCTAGCGCTATCGGCTTGGGATATAGCCATCATTTCATTATTTAGAGTAAGTTCATCGATAAAAGCATTTGCCACCCCACCGAAAGCAGCTTCTGCGGGTGTAGAACACGGCTGCTGCTGCTGCTGCTCTTCTTCTTTCTGCGGCTGCTGTTGCTTTTCTTCACCAGCACAATGTTCGTCTATATCTTCCTCTTCGACTTCTTGTACATCTTCCAATTCATCTTCAATGCTGCGGTGCTCTTCGATGCTGTCTTCGCTGCTACAAGTTGACGATTGTGTTGTTGTGCTTGTTGTTGGTGTTGTATTGTTTGGATTGGCAATGGTGCACTATTTGTTTATTTAATATTTTTTTTTGTATTTTTTTTGGTATTTTTTTTGTATTTTTTTTTTGTGGTTGGTAAAACAAACATACATACGAACGCGGTGAAAAGAAAACACAATGGGAAAGGGTTTTTTGTTGTTGAATCATTAAATTGCAAAAATGTATGTATATACTATATTTTGAGGTATTTATATATTACTTTTACTTTTTCCACAAAGAGCAAGACACGTGCATTATACACACACCTTACATACAGCAATACATTGAGGTAGAGAAAAACAGGCAATTCGAGCAATTTCGATTAGATTACAATAACACGCACATGCGACCACTTTGACATACAAAATTATATACTTATGTATATTATATACTTATATATTATATACCTATATATACTATATACTTATGTATGTGTTACGTAAATCCTTTTGAACATTCACATGCAACATTTCTTCAACAAAAAATTTAATTCTAGTTAAAATTTTAGACAAAAAATATGAGTACATATATATATTTGTAAATATTTGGCATCATTGATATGTGAAAAAATAAAATTAATTTTTTTTACTTACTTACATATATTTAGTTACAAAAGGGAAACTAAAAAAATATAACAAAAATATTTAGAGCACATAAAAGTGAAAAAGGAAGATTTTTTTGGAAAATTCCTAATCGGTGCGTCATATTTAACTGAGAATTTTAACAAAAATGAAAAATAAATATTAGATATTTTTCAAAAAAGTAATAGAATATTTTTGCAATAAATTTGTTGACATCGCATTTGCAAGTGCGATTGCCTTAGAAATACGATATTTTGTACTAAGAACGATCCCATAAGGCAGAAGTCTCATTAAGAACCTGAAAAAGGCATTTTGCCAGCAATTTTTTTTTGAATGGAAATGACTTTTTTGCGGTAAACGAAATTTTCAGGCAATAATACACCAAATTTAATCTTAAAAAAGAAATGTTTAGTATTAAAAAATATTGTAGTTTTCCAGTGTTGTACTGAGTTTTCTGAAGCGACTGCAGTTTGAACTTGTGAAACATTGCCGGTGAGGGAGTCGTGCGATGGTCGTGCAGTATATCTGAAACAGTCGAACGAACTTGTTTTTTAATATTTATGAGTGACTCTGCTATACGAACCAAAATAACGAAGAAGTTGGAAAATTTCAGAATTTGAAAAGAAATTCACTTAAAAAAAAAATCACTTTGAGTTGCTAAAGAAAATGTAGTTGAAATGAAACTTTTGTTCAAATTTTTTTGTTCAAATAGAAGATAATCTAATACTGAAGCAAGACCACAGCTGCTTTTTTCGATCGGACACATATTCTTTTTGCTATTGTCGCCACCGGTTTCCAAAAATGAGAACTCGCGAGAACGAGCTTCAAAGTTCTGCCTAAGCAATCGATGCTGTTCGGCCACTAAAGCTGCTCTGATTTCTAAAATATGTCGATTTAGCCACTGAAATTTCAGAGACATATTCTTGTATAAATTTCAAACAGATTGAGAATAAAAAAATGCATTTTTTGAAGCCTCTAAAACCTCTAAAGTGTTTGAGCGCAGATGTAACCAGCACGGAACAAATACGCTTTTATCCACACTTTTCTTTTTTTGTTTTTTGATAAAAGTGAAAACGCAAGCCAACCAGTTGAGAATGTGAAAAGTGTTTGTGGTCCTAAGACTGCAACAGTCAACAATGCACAAGTTTGGTTTCGTCCATTTCGTTCCGGTAATTATTCCTCGAAAATGTCGATAAAATACGGGAAATCATCGAGTCTGCCCCTTGTGTGAGCACCCAGAAACGAAACTTTGCACAAAACACGGTTTGAAGCCACTCGAAGTAGCAGCTGATTTACCGTCAATGCGGATCACAGAGAAAGACACAAGCGATATTGAGTTCCAACAGAAGGCCGCTACATGTGACACAGCCAACGTTCCAATCGATCTTATGCGCATTGTGTTCGAAAATCCCTTAATAAGTCGAAACGGCGCTATCAGCGAGATAGTTAATAACTTACTTGGTTGGACTTTTGCTGTTGGAGAGTCCTTAAGGAAACATGAAAATCAATCGAAAAATTACAATAACAAAGGGATTAGAATGGGCTACAGCTGGACCAGCTGCAGCAGCGCTATGAATGAAGTGGTATTTTATGATTAATCGGAATGATGAGGCATTTGAATAAAAGCAAACTTAACGAAATATATTTATCCGTCTATGGAAATATGGGTATTTTAACTAGCAGAGGATTTTAAAAGTGGCACAGCATTCAACACTGTAGGAATCCTGTTGGTGAATGGTTACCAAAAGCCTGATACACTAAAGAGACATGTAATCGGTTCAAAAATTGTAAACCAAGCGCGGGCAATGGCATATCAGAGTGAATGCTACAATCATATATACGAAATAAAATAATAATATAAATTCGACCGGAGAGTTACGAGCACAGCTAATGATACCAAACAACTTTGGTCGTTCGCTTTTCAAGGTTATTTCTACAGTACTGAGAGCAGCTGTACATGTAAAAGAGCAAGAAAGCTGCTTACAATATGAGGTCAAGCCTCAATTCGGCTCTCTCGAATACACAAACACGGTTAAAGGATGTAAAGCTGGAAACTTTTGTAATCATTCCAATTCAAGCAACATAATGAAGGTAAATATGAAGAATGAATAGGTATTAAATTGTGTAAGCTTTTTACGTGAAATAAATATTTTTTAAGGAACTTTTTTTTAGCAAGCCTTAAGTTAACCCTCTTGAGACCGCACCTAGACGACTGCTCTAAAAAATTTTTTATTGTTGCAACAAAAAATGTCTGCAGTCTAGCAATGAAAAATTTCGTGGATTTATTAAAGCACTATTTTTCGCTAAGCTTTTAGTTTTAAAACTGGATCATTATTTTAAGAAATTTTTCATTTGCACTTTTAAAAAATTTGGCTTTTCTTGTACACTAGAATTCTGAGTTCAGTTTGTTTAGTAAGTTAGTGAATAATTTTTTCTATTTATTTTTTTTTTACTTTATATAAAATGATATTAAACACAGAATTTGCTTATAAAAAAGTTTGTAGTCGAAAGGGTACATGGGTAATTTATGCAAAAAATCTTCTTAAAAAATATTTGAAAAATCTTATGAACGGAATAATTTTAGAAAACAGAATATTTTCATGTGAAAATTTATCCTTCTCTGTATATAAAATTCTTCTTTCATGTACATGCAAACTTTGGTCAGAAGTATGTACATAAGTACCAGAGGGAGGCAGATGGGTCCGTCAGTAATAATACCGTTCGGATCAGAATGACGAGTTGAGTGGATTTAGCCAGAAGAAGACTTCATGATGCAGCCTCCTCCAACCAATTTTTCAGATTTGAGAATTAATATTTAATTCTAAATGAAAATACTATAAATTTGTTATGGACATGAAAGGTATAAAACCGCACTTCTTTCATGTTTGAATTAAAAGAATGAAAGATAGCCTACAGATGGTAGAGATATTTTTTTTGTCAAAGCAAACTTTTTTGCCGCACAAAACACACAGAAGGGAGATATACAAGTTATCACTGTTTTAAATGAAATCATTATTAAATTCATTAGTATTTCATTACTACTATTTACCGCTACCTTTGCATACGAAAAACATGTTGCTTAACCCTCTTCAACATTTGCTTGTTAGAGAAAAAAAGTAGGAAAAAATGCGTCGGTTTCATGGGCAAAATACCAAAAAGGCGAGTTAAACAGCATTTTTTTTTTGCCTCCCAAAACCCACATTAAGCATCCATGTCAAATATTTAATTAATGAAACAAGGTAGTGTTATATTACAGTCAAGCGTGTGTGTGAAATATAGATATGTGTTAGTGGCAAACATGGTACACCTGTTGTTATGGGTTGTCAACGAACGGACTAACTCGTCTAGACCGAAAGTTACGCCTCTATGGCTTTGTAAAATTTTCTATATTATATTTAGTTGGGTTACAAGCATATACATATATAAGCTTCCTTATGTCACATAAATATATATATGCACATATTTTGTATGTAGATATTAGTTGGTAAAGTTTGAAGTATTTCTTTGGCATTAAACAAATTTAAACTTTTGAATTGAGTTAGGCTTAGCGGTAATTTTAGAGAATTTCTAATCACCCTTTGTTATTACTTAAATATTTATATGGTTTTTTTTTAATTTTAAATGCGTATTTAAATTTTAGTTTATTAAATTTTAATTTTTTCACTCTAGACAATTGTTTGCCTACAGTCTTTGTCTGTGTAAAGTTTTGTTTTTGTTTTTGTAGTAGAAATAAATTAAAAAACAATTAGTTTTCCATTATTCTTCATTAAAAGATGCTCAGACAATCGAGCTTGCTGCGGTAGGGAGACCAAAGTTTTTCTGAGTTCACTTCCTTATTATATTTCAGGATTGAGCACTCGAACTCTGCCCTCTCGAGTAGTAGTATGCAATGCCAACCACCCGACTAACGCAGCCGCCGCGACCTCAATTCACTCAGCAACAGTTCGTCGATGAACTTGATTCAATTTTTGGCGTTGAAGTTCCATTAAGAATCAGTGTTCGTTGACATGGCATGGTGAATTCACTCGAGGTCGTATTTCACTCCAAGACGAGTTTCGTGAAGGTCGCCGAAAATCGATTTTTGTCCCGGTAACTATTGACGCTGTGCGTAAACTGATTTTGCAAGATTGTCACGTGAGCTATCGTGGTAGGCATTGGTTGGATCAGCATACGTCCAATATTGCATGCACCTTTGACTGTAAAACAAATTCGTTCACTTTGGATCCTATAAAATTCGTCAAACGCTGAATAAAAAGACTCGCGAATATTGGTCGAAAGCAATGTTGAAGGAAATACGGTAGTGATGCTTTGAAATATGTTTATGATTTCGTGACAGGGGACGCATGAGTCCGTAAGTGAAAATGTTCTACTGTAAGGGTGTTTAAAGATGAGCCAAAACCTACAAAAGTTTGCTCGCGCACGAAGAACCTCTAGACAAATGGCTTGTCTTTGGGAAAACCGGATATGTGGCAACCTTATC